TATGTTCGCCGCAGGCTCGCGGTTCAACACGAAGGCCTATACTTGGAATTTACAAGTATATAATTACTAAAATATGTAAATTAGAATAAATCTCTAAAAGGAGCGACGATTGAGTGACTATCCAAGTACAATAGGTGCATAATAAAAAGTCATGACTTTTGGATATGGTGCAATCTGGAATTACCATTGATCATGTCCCAATATAAAATGATGTTATATAATGTTTAAAATGAATTTGTGTCAAAAAAATGTGTATATTCGAAAAACATACCTTGAAATCTATAAATTAGATCAGTTAATTCTATTTTATTCACTATAAATCAATTTCTAATAATTCATTTCTAATTCTTTCTTCATCCAAATTCTATCAAAATAATTTATTAATTATTTTTGAGTTTTAATGTATGATATTTTAGCATTTGATATCATCAGTCTAAAAGATATGATCAAGTTTCATTTCGCTCGACAAAATTAATATTTTATTTTATTAATTTTGAAAAAGTGTTGCACCTTAGTAGATAGACGTGCATTTGGTCCTGTTAGCGCCGTGTGTCAAGGAGAATTGCAATTGCATAACTTGCACCACTTATTCCGAACAACTCCACTTGATACAAGGATTTGATTTACTAAGTACTCGAAGGCTACCATCTACCTGACTTCAAGTGCTCAGTACCTTCACAATGATTAGCAATACATAGATTGCAATTTTAAGCAGTCGTTAAATTTATTCAGCTTGAGTTGCCACATTTTCCGGTTTAAGAACCCTTTTAAAGAGACGTCTCTTATAAAGAGACTCAAACTTATAAAGCTTGAGTCTTTAAAGAGATGTCTCTTATAAAGAGACGTCCCTTACAGCTGTGAAATGAAATTTATTCTAATGAGTAACGTCTAATATTTTGAAAAAATTAGTGATCAAAATTCGATATCTGAATTAAGGGGTTTGCCAGTGTATATGGGTTCACCGTCAACCCGTGTACACTTAGCAAAGCCCTGAAGAATCATAATTCAGCTAGGGATGGCAACAGGGCGGGGGACCCTCCCCGCCCCGCCCCGCGCCCCGCTAAGAAATTTCCCGCCCCGTCCCCGTTTAAGTNTGGTGCACTGGCGGGTGGTGGTTTGCCCTGTCAGGTTGTTGAAGAAGATAGTTCTTCAGATGGCGACGAATGAGCGGCTGGTGGAGGCTTATTGCTGGTCTTTGCCCTTTCTCCGTCCTCAGCTATTTCCTTTATGTTGATCGATTACTTCTTTTTTTTTTTCTTTTGCAACACCGTGGTTTGGCATCGACCCCCACTCGATCTATAGAATTAAGCAAATTTGAACAAAAGGTAGGGGGACAGATACCCGACCTCCAAAGTGTTGATTGTCGATAACTTTTTCCTTGAATGTTTTATCTTTTATTTCTATGTTTGATCTTGTTTTCTGTCATGAAGGGGCTACTAACTCATTCACCCTTTGATGTAATTAAGAAGATGAAAATTGTGTTACATGATATACGTAAAAAGTAAGTTTATATTATAAGCATATTTTTTAGTATAAAGAGCTACATGATTCTTAAGAATCTTGACGTGTTCAATGCATTAGACTAGATTTGGACGGTTCGAATCTAGTTGGTTTTCCTGTCATATTTCTTAAGAAAATGTGAACGTGTCCCGCCTCTCTTGAGATGGGGTTAGGACAGCTCGACTTTCTTGCTCTGCCCACTTTACACCTCAAAAATTGACTACTACCATCGTAACTTTTTCTTTAATTTTCTTGAATCATATCTGGTCTAACATTCGATAATCAGTCCACCTTTTCTCTATTTCTAGCAAGGCAGAAAGGTACTTATATTCTCGTAAATGGATGTTGAGAAGTCCAGAATTCAAAGATTATGTTAAACGTAAGGATTTTGTTACTTGTATATAAAAAATATACTTAATGAATTATATAATATGATGTATATGAAAAAAGTTAATTATGTTTTACATTGACAAATAAAGTGTCATGTGACATTATATAATACATTATGTAAATCTTAATGTACATGTAGCAAGATTCTAAACACAAATATAAAGGAAAAACGTAAATAATACATATAAATACAAATATGTTCGCCGCAGGCTCGCGGTTCAACACGAAGGCCTATACTTGGAATTTACAAGTATATAATTACTAAAATATGTAAATTATGTTGACCTATGGTTGATCATGAAATTAATGTTTTGATTATAACAAAAAA